GTTATTACGATATATATGTATGCGTGTGGCCTATGTCGGCTATGTGTCGATACGCCCCTTGCTGCCGACATAAACATCACTATGCGCGTTGCATGTATTTCCCCTGGTGCACTTTTCGCGACCAGATATCGCGAACAACTCGAGAGCTGAGCAGATGTGAACATATACGCGCGGAGATACGGTTACTTTTTACGGTTACTGCAAAAAGATTTCGCGCGCGCGCGTTATGTACGAAATTGCAATTTTTTTCTTAATTAATGTGTCTCGTTGCGAAAATTTTTCAACAAACATACGATTCCGCGAGCGCGTGCTATATTTTTATTGCTGCCAAGTTGTCATTTATACGGCAATCTAGGGGCGAAATTTTTACAATCTCTATTTTGAATGGCATCGATATTTTTGCATGAATATCCATGCCGTTGTGACGTGTGTGTGCGCGCGCGCGCGAGATAGCGAACAAACCGAAACAGATGATACTGTGAATGCAATCGGAAGCAAGTGGCGCGACTGGTAAGCTGATTCGATCAATGATGCGGCATTGGTTTCGCGATAGGCACGCTCGACATGCAATGATCGGTCCAATTAAACGGCGAGGTTAAAACTCCGCTTCAGCAGCGTCGACACAATTTTGGCATTACTGTCGATCGTGCCGTCGCGATGTAAAAACGGGTGTGTTGCGCGCAAACGGATGTTCACGTTGTCGTTTCTCGATATGCAAGAGGAATACGCGCGTGTGTGAGAGAGAGAGGGGTTCGGAGGGAGGGAACGGGAGGGAGGTAGGGTCGTTTCGCGAGAGACTAGACGAAATAAATGAACAAATAGCTGTCGATGTCGAGTTTTGTATGAGTTTTGAATGCAAACTGTACCATCAACACCTCGGATACGGAGCTGATGCTGAGGACATACATGGTGACGCCGACCTCCACGGGCGGACCTGTAATCAACAAAACCATCCGGCCTTGGTCGCTCTGATTACCCGCCAATCTCTAATCAACCGTGTCAGACCTATCGTGTACGGTAAGCAGGTTATATTTAGACAGTGATAATAATAGTAATTAATAACGTATCTCTCTTCATCTTTGACTCACGCGCGCGTTGCAGCTCGGACACCTTCGACACTTTTTCGAGCAGTCGTTATCATTTTGCGTGTGTCGCGCGCGACGACGTGTTTATCAGCGGAATTTACGCGTCGCGAATATACGCTTGACACGCGCGAGCAAATCATTTGGCATTTTTTTTTTCCCCCGAGTCTTCGGTTAAATCGGGAGACGGAGACTTTTGTCCTCGCGAGAGAAGGACCGCCTGTCGGAAACGTCGGGCGCGTCTACCCGCGTGAGCCAGAGGCAAAGCAACAAACGGACAAGTCGAGGAGAGCTCGCACCCTGCACGGAACCAAATCAACAGGACTCGTCGTCGGCCACGTTGCCTTCCAAAGCTAGAAGAATCATTCATACTTGTTTCGTTACATAGGCACTGTGCTCTTACGTATAGTACATACACATCACAGCCACATAGCAGTATGACGTTACCTTGCTACTGCCTTTCGTTTTGCACCGCGTTGTTTTATAATTCGTTTTGTTTCTTTCTTTTTCTTTCTTTTCTCTCTCTCTCTCTCTCTCTCTCTCTTTCTCTCTCTCTCTCTCACGCATACACACACACACATACACATTCTTTCTTTTTCGCTCTCTTGCATCTTGTTTTGCCAATCACTTGTCACATCGTATTCCAATTAGGCTTGTTGTGGCTATACGTGTACGTATCTCGGGGAAATCTGGTTCACTTTACAGTCGTATTTCGCCCTATTTTAGACGCTCTTCGACATTGTCGAGAGCGTTGCGTCGTTTCGTCGAACGTTCGTCGAACGACATCGTTACTTTACACTGAATTGCTGTCATTGTCACTGCGGTCGTCGATTCCGGGCGAAATTTTATCTCTTTTTTTTTTGTTCTTTAGCTTCCAGGGAGATGTGAGGGGCGGGATGTCTTGAATATCAAAAGAGCTGCTGGAAGGAACTTAGTCCAATCAGGTTGTTTTCTCTCGCGTGTTCGTACACGAACGTGTGATACGTGCGGTGTTCAGACAGAGAGATGGCGGAGGTGTTCGGGCAGAGGGTTTTCTTTTTTTTTTTTTTCGGGTCGGCGGGACATATAAAGTAATAATAATTGTAAGTGGTGGCAGGCGGCAGCCCAATCTTCAGCAACCGCGGCATAGCAGCTAGAGCGTCTAAGAAACGGTCTAACGGGACGGTCGTGCGTGTTTAATATATTGAACAAAATACTATTTTTCCCTGAGAGCAGAAAGCAATAAAGAGACGCGCCTCATTCACGTTCTCTCTCTAACACTACGTGACGTTCGGGGCAGCCCAGGCTCAAAGTCAGGCAGGAGATCAGTGAACTAAACTTTTTCCACGCCCGCGGAAAACGAACGAACGGTAGTCGAAGCAACTGAATATCGCTCCGAAGCGTTGATTCATCATTCTGCGGATCTTCTCCCACTCGAAACTTTTAATGGCAATCTCGCGTCAATACAATTTATTCTCGTGAATTACGTCGTACGTCTACCCGTCGAGGACGTAAAGGACGACCATTTTCGTGGAAAATAAATCTGGCTCGCGGCGTGTTAAGCGCAAACTCCCTCGCAATAATTTAAAACGATTTGGATTATTTATTTTTTTTTTCTCAGAGATTTGGCTCGATTCGCGACCGCAGATACGTGGTCTCGCTGTTTCCAGTTGCTGAAACTACAGTCCCGTTTCCCGAGCGTAGAACGAGGACAGCCAGTATATATTTATTATCTGAAATATGAAATAGTACTTTGTCCACTTTTGGTAGTGTTTTTTTTCTGTTGCTCGCTACTAAAATGTGTGTAAGTGTATGTATGTATGTGTATGTGTGTGTTTGAAAATGCGTGTAAGGGTCATACACGCGCACACTTATTCCCGCGCCGGTGTGAACCGGTACCGCGATAAGCGAATAGACTATGGGACGCTACAATATATATCAAGTGAGTTAGGAGACTCCGCTTGGTTGGCTTCATTTCGGTAGTTTCGAAGTGCAAGCGGTTAACCATGTCACGTAATCGTTAACCGCACGCGTACGCGACGTTAAGTGCGTCTTACACACGGAACTGGCACTTTTACGCTCCAGTTGTCTGATATTTCCTCGCTTGATACGCGCGCCCCGCGAACGATAAAATCTGTCAGGAGGAATTGAAATAATTTCGCTATTGTGAGGGAAAGTTTATATTGTTAGCTATCACGTGTGAAACGGCATACGCGAAAATTTGTCAATGGAAACGTTTGAAATTGCCGTTCTTCTTTCGACAAATTATTAATCAAAATCACAAATTCAATGGATGCGATATCAAATAAACGATACGTGATCAAACGTAATAATCCGAAGTACTATATCAAAATATCATAAAATCAAATAGATTAATTTCTCCAAACTTATCGGATTAATTAAATAATGTAAATTTGTTTTGCCAGGCGACAGAAATTGTTAGTTCATACAATCGATAAATTTGCAATTAATATTTCTGTTAAAATTCATAATGACTAAACGCGTTAGGAAGAAATTGTGTTGCAAAACTCGACCGACTCGATCCGAGCTGAAAATGTGAGAAACATTTATCTCGTTCGAGCGCGGGACATATTTGCAGTATTGAGAAGCGAAATGCTGGCGCAGCAGCGATCGGTTCTCTTCTGCATAGTTGCGTTCAATTGGCTCCGAAACTAACGCGCCAAGAAATTGGACAGCGCTTCGTTTCGGTGGACGATTTCCCTCTAAGCGAGTGCAGAATCGTTTCGGTAATCGTATTATGTGATTGTCGCGGTTCCAAACGTCGTCGCTGAACGAACAGCGCATCAAAGAGGCGTATAGCTCGGGGGTTTTGTTCACGGCGAGCGATCCGATTTTGTCTCCGGGGCGCCGACGATCGACGCGGGATTCACGATGTTATCGACGAAACGACGATGCACCGGCGGGAATCGACGTGCGCCTCTCGCGACGATCGACGGCGCCCCGAGGACGAAATTTCCTTCGTTGTGTCGGTGAATGAGGAGAGATTAAAGCCACCGAGTTCGCAGAGCAGCAATTAATCGATCGTTATGTGTACGCGTTCGGGGCGCAATAATCGCGACGTCGTCGTTTCGCAATGGAGATAATTTACGCTTCGGTGAACGTATTAAACAACGCGTCGTTTATCGGAGGGTCGACTCGACCTGCTGAAAGTATCGCCCCAATTAGTACGTGATTAACGACATGAAGCGACTCGCGAATTACTCGCCGCACCGGCACGGACGGCATGAGAAATCACTCGCGTAGACGCGAACGCTGATTGTTAATGCAATAAGCATTGCGGCGGATCGCGGAGAATCGACGCGCTCTGTTCTCTCGTTTTGTTGATTTTTGCAGCAAACCGTACCTGGATGCGATGCGCAATACTTAAGTGCCTATTTCGCCGACAAGGCAACAGCAGAATTGTTTACGTGCCTTAATAACTACAAACACACATTGAACACAAATAAAACGGAAATTATATTGCACATGACGTGCATATGATCTCCTGAGTCTGTACACGCAACTGGATTAATTGGAAACGATAATTGTTCGTTGCGAGGGTGACGAAAACAATGGTAGGAATGCACACTGGTGTGCGCGTGTATGTACAACAGTGTCAACCGGATATGCATCCGCACTCGTGTCACTGCGTGTAAAGTCTCTCTCCCAGGTGTGTCTGTGCAAGTGTGTCGGTGGGTTAAAAAAATGCTGATTGCAAGTTCAGTAACGAATCGCGGCGGCAATCGTCGCCTTGAAAAATACACGGGCACTAAAAAGTGTGGTTGCTTGTGGGCGAAGAGACCGGCGGGGAGAAAAAAGAAAGGGGCAGAGAAGGGGGGGGGGGCGGTTGGCGGCGTGGCGTGGGCATTATGTTTAGCCGAGAACGATAGTAATGAGTAACTTTCAGCGGAAATACTGAGTAAGACCTAGAGGTAGTACCATTTTCACTTCGGATAGGGAGCTGATACTCAAGACGTACATGGTGACGCCCACCTCGACGGGAGGACCTGAAATCGAAGGTTAGTAAGACTGAGTCGCCGGTTTACCGGCCTCGGCCAAGCTACACGGTGAGAGTGACTGTATGGCATTTGTTCCTTAATCACGAATATCACACGTGTGTCGTGTTTATTGATTCTTTTTTTCTTTTTTTTTTGTTTTGTCTTTTGGTAGCATTCTGCATGAATTTATTGTGAATACGAAATGGCATGTTGGTGATGTCGCTACGTTGGATGGATTGCTGAAAGTGGTATAATCGATCTCGATTAGACGGCGTCTGTCTAGTAATCTATGCGCTAATTTACGTGTGCTCGGTCGTCCTTATGATTGCGCAATAATGACTTCAGCGGGTTTGATCCTTCACCTGTGCAGCGCTGCGATGTGTTTCATAACGTACGATTTACGAGGGTTTAATATAAACTCGATTGAAGTAATTAAGTCAATATTTTTTAAATTGATGATGTTAAATTGAAATACGTTAAAAATTACTCGCGTATTTTCGTTCTCGCCTCTTCGTTCAAAATATATTTCTTTGCGTGGCCATTATCGTCATTTTATTTTTAATGCACGAAATTAAACGAATTTGCAAACGATTGCTTCATGTATTTGAATATGCGACATAAATTGCTTCTTTCGCGATCTTTGCAAACTTTAAATTCAAAGACCTAACTTTCGTGAGAACTTCAGCGATCTGTGCCAAACGTGTGGCACGAAATCGAAGCTGCCGGTCGAATTGATCGACCGCAAAGACGAAGCGGAAAAATGCAATCGTGCCCGATCAGGCGGCACTTCACCGGAGAAAAGTTTATGGACGAAATTTCGGGCAGAGGGTGAAGGAGAGCGGGAAAGCCAGGTGCAGTTGGAAAGATCGGTTGTCGGCCAGAGGGGGGATGGCCGGGGTGAGAGGGTACGGAAGGGTTGGTGGATGCAGGCGCATATACGTGTCCACGTTGGCGTTTTCGCGATAAAGTTGACTCGTAAACAACGGCTCTGCCAACGCCATCGCGCGCCACTCGACCGATATATCTTCATTTCCATTTCTAGGATGTTTTTAAAGCCCTATAGCCGAGAAACATCCCATATGGGACACATATTTCACAATGACGTTCTCGCGTACACGCTGGAAAACGCACGGACGACGTGGTATCGAGTTAATTGAAGCGCGCCAGTATGTTTCGCCCGTGCAAACCGATCGGCCATGAGAGAGCATAGTCTCGTACCCCCAAAAAGGAAAAAAAAGAGATTAAAAAAAATATACGAGACACATGTGTGACGTAACGGGAAAGAACAAAAATTAATAACTGGCTGTGGAATCGAAAAATCGCAGTCGCATGTGCCGATATTCGACTATTTGCATTACAGATATTTTTTGTGTCCTCTGCTATTTATTTCGTCGTGCGATTTACAAGTTTTCAATATATTATATACAATATATAAAATTGTAGATATATTCATGCATATTTTATATCACAAAATATTATACCGAATTAAGTCTAATATTTTGATGCAACCATTAAATAATCCAGATATTTCCAATGATATGTTCATAAAAATATGTAGTAATTATATGTAAAATAACTGAAAATACACGCAATCATATACTTTAAATATTGCATTGCAGAATGTAAAATATTATATATGTATATATATATAATCATTAATTTAATAATTTTTTTCGTTGCAAAATTCCACCCGAGTTCTACTGCGATGTTGTTTTTTTTTTTAGCAAACGCACGAAAAGTTGTTCATTAATAAGGCAAACCAATTTATGGCGCAGAAACATTTTAACTTTCCCGTCACGTATTTCGTCATTTTACGTAGGTCTTGTCATTGTGGCCGACGCGGCGCGGCTCGTGTTTGAAAATCCGGCCGCGCTCCAGGGAATATCCAATGAAGCGCCGCGAATCGAAGAGAGCAGCGGCAGCGGTACTGTTTATCCCGTCCATCCATCGTACTCTCGTGTCCGTTTTCGTAATGTCCGTATACCGATATAAATTTTAAATGCTGAGAGCCCGCATCGAGCGAATCCCCGTGTATCGGCATGCGGGAGCGGCCGAGGAGCGCGGGCATCAGCGATTCGGATCAAGACGGCACCGTTTAGTGCGCCTTTTTGCGATCTGCCGATAGTAACCTATATACGTGATCCCGTGGAAAATGAGACGATCGCCTACTACGCTTGACAGTCAGCTCGAGTTTACTGCAAAGTGAGTCATTACTAATGCATTCTCCCGACGTACCTGGGAAAATCAAGATAGATCGTGTTATCGCAACATTCTCCATCAATTTCCATTGATAGGGCTCTCGCGGCATCGCGTTAAAAATTGTTTGATAAATCTTCGATTACGTTGTAGCTGCTGCTTAGCCAATTTTCGATTGCAGAACAATAAATTAAATAATATTTATTTAATGCGAACGGTTCGCATGTTTAACAGTATATGTTGAATGTAATTAAATGATAATACGCTGACTGTGTGTATTTATTTTATTCTACTGCGCGTTAGAACCGGGAATTTGTAATTACAATTCGTAATTTTAACCGCTTTCAGCATGTGAGAATTAAAGCTTTTAATTATTCAATTTAACCGCTTTTTCGATTTTAATACCTGACCCGTATATATTAACAATTTCAACTACGAATACATGTCGAGCAAAATTAACGAATATCGGTAAGTGTTTTTAGCTTCTTCGAAAATAAAAGAACTAAAACGATTCTCGGTCAATCAAATCACGAATCTTCTTTAGGAAAATAGAGCGGCGGTGTGAAATCGGGTGTCATCTTTGTTAGCAGCCGCGATGCCGAAAGTGAGCCGAAAGTGAGCCGCGGTGCTATCTCGGAATAGAATCTGGGACAAAAGAAGGGGCGCGAAGACACGACGACGAAATCAAAGTCAAAATCGTAATTGAAGACGAGATACGGCGTCTCTCTGTGTGTAGTCGGAGCGGAGATGCCGTTAACGGTAACCCGTGGCAACCCGTGGGGCGTCCCAGCATCGATTCGAGTTTTATCGAAGCGCTCCAGCCCCGCCCTGCCTCCACGAGGCCATCCCCCGAAAATGCGACTTTGTCGTGGTAGAATCGCGGACACATGAATCATAATCGTAGCGCTTCGGCACCGATAACCGGTTCGCCAGCTGAGCCGACCCTCCCCTCGCCAAACGCCGCGACGCGGACTTTTTGGCCGGGCCTACCGAGTCGAAAGTGGGTCGTGTCGTCCATCGGCGGGCACTAATTGCTTCTAACTGACTCTCGACTGGCGAGCGTGGTTTCACTCGAAACTGGTTTAATGGCTCTTTAATATCCCCGTATTTTATAAGCATCTCGTTTACCGTAATATCGCATTACGCTCACGGTCGGTAATCTGGTATATTTATTTAGGGCGATAAAAATCTATTTGTACAAATTGCGCGCAAACTGTATCTCGGCGTATCGGCCGAAAGCTAAAAGGGAACGTTTTATGTTTTACTTTTATGCCGGAGTCACGTGCCGTTTTCTGTTTCCGCGACGGAACGCGCTGTCTGTCGCATCGTTTTACCGGTATTTCTTTTTTGGTAGTCGCGCGGTAAACGGCAAATTACTCCTTTGCCGAGAAACAGGATGCGATTCGCGTACACGTGCTACCGCGCTGTTTCTGTCAGAGTTGTTTTATGGAAGTGGTAGTACGCTCGAGAGCCTGCCGTTTTTGTAGGGTGAACGTGGGAGACGGTAAACGGCGCCAAAAATATTTCCTGGAGCATTCCGCCGGAGCTTTAGAGCCGTGTCACGCCATTGTTACAATTTGAAAGCTTGCGCTTTGTATCTTGATTTATCGCGTATCGATTTCACGAGTTAAATTTTTTCCCCCTTTTTTTCGAGTAAATTTGTTTATCTGTTGTTAATATATTTTTCCAGTTCCTTTTATCTCAGCGCTGCATCGAAATGAAATACAATGCCAGCTATTTTTTTATCCGAGCACACGTAAAGAGCTTTTTTCTACGCTTGCAGCAAACGAAGTGGAATTAAAAAGAGTCGTTTGTTGGTTTTCTTTTCTTCCGCCAATTGATTGAGTTTGCTGGTGTGTCAATATTTGGTTCTCTGTCGTTACCCAGCTTCCTTCATTTTCGTTGGCTGCAAGGTAATGTTTTTGGATTTCACGTAATACGTGCAGCGATCGTAAAAAACAATGAGAAAGCTTTGCTTCGAACGCAAAACTTGCGCGTATCACTTCATATCGTGAATTAATCGGGTCAATCACATTGAACGTGTGAGCTTGACAAGTTTTGCGCACGATAGAATCCACGCCAGGGTGGTCGAATGATCTCGGTTATCGAAAGATGGGGAAAATCGAATCCTTACTCACCTCCGTAGTTCGGCCTTACTCTTTTATCGTAACTGATGGAGAAGGAGTCCAATATTGCGGAGATGTTTACGTCCCCCAGCATACTGCCGCCGCTCTCTCTGCAAAGGAACGAGAACAATTCTTAAAAAAATCTAATATTTTAAGATTACTTAAAATTACTCGCGCCATAATACTTTCACATTTATTCAACCCGACATTTTTCCAGTTCGAGTAATTGATAGAATTTTTTCGAACCGCAAAAAATCTCAGTTTAAATATTATTAAAATATTTTTGCACATTCTCTCTCTCTCTCAGGGATCTTTTCTTACGAATAAAATAACAATCTTATTGTTACAATAACAATCTCAATAAGAAATAAGGTTTACTGTGTTACAAAGTTAAGAGCGTTAAGATATTCCGTTATAAACTCTTGAAGCACTGTCACGAACTCCTGAACTGATATAGATACCGGTATTAGCATTATTCCAAAGACAAGTCCGAGGGAAGATATTGTAACAGCCTGCATGACGTACACGACCGCGGGAGGTAGATACGGCCAAGGGTCCGCAGCATAAAGTGCAGCGGGTCTGTTCTTGACTTAACGGGTCAGTAGATACGGATGGTCTCGGTCAGCCAAACAAACGGCTCTTGAGTCCGCGGGCTGATACGGTTCCGCATTACCTACGAGAGCCCGATCTAATGGGCACAGCAGCCGATTCCGGTTCCGCTAAGTAGAGCAATTCGGTCCGACGGCGATTTCTGCTCGGCTCAGCCGGGTTGACCAAAATCGTGCGTAATCACTCGGTCGCAGCGTTGATTCTCGGAATTCGCGCGAAGCCGCATTTTGGCGGCGACCTTGATCGGATCGTGCGATATCTTTGCTATATCTGCAGATCGAGTCGCAAAAGTCGCTGTGCCGGAATGAGAAGGAAAATCAGATGCGTTTGTGTTTTATTTCTTTCGTTCGCGTCGCGACGATTCATATTCTGTGCACTTTGCACCGAAAATAACTTTTTGAATCGTATATCGTCGATATATAAGCGAAGAGCTTAGTGATCTACAAAACAATGGATACACCTTGACCTGAGAGAGGCACGGTTTACCTGACCAAGCACGCACATATGAGTGACCTTTGGCCGTGCAGTCGGCTGATCAAGATCATCTGAAATTACTGCGGCTTCTATTAACGCCGGTAGAAACTCGGCACTAGTTATACCGTAATATTAGGTTAGCTCAAAAGGTTCGTCGTATTCGTCGTAAGTAAGATTGAAGGCAAGATTGCAAGATTTTAAATGAATTTTCATGAACTGATATAGTCGCCATTGACTTGAATATATATTTTTTTAAATCTGGAAACAAGTATTTGTGCGCCCGATTTAAAAAACTCCGAGCTCTTAGAATGCAGATCGATAGCTTTATTTAAAATAGACCTTCACGGAGAAGGCTTTTTGCGCCAACCTAATAGATAAATGATGTTAAAGAGAGAGAATAATAAGGACATTGTATCGGTGTATCGGGATGACAACATAACTCTATTCACGAGTCACGGTTATTATCGTCGCTTCGAAGATGATTGATCTTCGTATATAAATGCCGCCTAATAAATTCTGTCGATAACAATAGATTGATAACGATGTTGTGCGCGCTTGATTCACGCGTTACTCCGAATCATCGAATCAAATAAGCGTAAGAAAAGCCTTGACCCTACTCGGTGTACATGTGAGTCGGCAGAATGTTCAAGACATGGTGTACATATCGTTGTACATCGGCCTGCGCGCATAGCTGCACAATGGAAGCAAGTGAACCTGGCGAGTTTGCAAAGTGTTGCACGAATTAGACTAATCAGATCGTGCATGTTTGCCGCGTTCTATTCTACTGACCAAGATTCCAAGCGTTATACGATCTACAATGTGTCCCCGCGATTAGGTTCACGGGATTTCGTAATCAATTATAAATCAAGGAAATAATCGTTGTCTACTTTGTACTCAATCTACTTTGTGATTCAAAGTACTAAGCTCTTTAGTCATGAAAGTCCTAATTGCCATTTCGAGATTGTATCCACTTGTTTGTGTAAAGCAGAGAGTTGCTGCAATTAGAACGATAATGAACTATGAAATGAGTATTAAGCAGCATGGGTATTATCTTTAGCAATTTGCTATGATTCTAACGAATATTCAGTAAATTGAAACAATTATAAGCAAAAAACAAACTATTAATTTTGAGAAAAGAGAAAGAAAAGTTGCTATAAAATTATGATTAATAGATCGATGTGATAAGTCGTACAATATTTGTCGTTGATTTTATCGCACAGTTATGCTAGAACGTATAACGTGTCTGGAAGAAAATATTAGTTAGTTTTATGTGGTGATGGAAGCGCTTTTAATCGTTCATACGCATATTTGAGAAGGTTTTATCGAACGATTTGCTGTAATCACCATGGTCTTGCATATCTCACAACGAAGAAGAACTTACTACCAAGCTGTGATAATAGGTCAGAGGTTAGGCATATCGATTAGATGCAGATATCTACTCTGGGAACAAGGGTGCGAATAATACGCTGTAGATGGTATCGTGTAGATACACGCGCGAAAATATAGATAGATTGATCTTTCCGCACATCACGAAGAGTCGACTTCATTTCCGTAAGGTTATCGCTCAAAATATCTCCTATCAAAAGAACGAAATATTCTAAATTATACGGGCGAAAATTAATAAATCGTCTTTCTTAATAAAGGCAAGTTTGATTAAATATCGCAGCAATTGTACAACGCAAAATTTATAGATATATTTAAGTATTCTGTTTCTAGTAGTTCAACTTTATTAAAAATTAATTAAATATATAATCAGGTATACACAGTGTAATACGTTCTTCTTAATACAAACAATAAAAAATATATTATTCTTTTTTATATTAAGAAATTAATATTTCCTCGTCTTATCTGCAATTTTTTATTATCTTTGTAGAAGCGCAAGCACAAGAGCTGTCTACAAGCTTCTTTAATCAATTTCGAATCGGGCATTCTGAATTCTTCTATTCATTCATGAAAGAGAGGAGAGGGCGGATAACTTTTCGTGGACATTTTCTCAATCGCTTGAAATATTTGAAAGACGTCCTTCGAGGCTAGTGTCTGCGAGATTGAGGAGAGGTTTTGTGGGTGTTTGTGTTACAGACGAAAGGATGCGCGTCTCTTTCACGGGTGTTCAGGAAGGCCGTTGAAGAAATGTCACGCCATAGTTAAGCGTTTCATGCTTCATTGCCCCAAAAGCGTTCTGCTTTCTCCGCCAGACAATGTTTTCAGAAGCTCGCCCGTTCCTCAGATCTCGCGCGAAAAGTCTCCTGTGTGCTTCGTAGAAATCCATTTTTCTCGCTGTTCGTGTTGTGAATTACGAACTCGGTCATATACGAGCTTCATCGCTGCACTACGTGTAAAGCAATGTAACGCTAAATTAATGATGATCATGTCGGATAAATATGTTTAACCGAAATTAGGTCGACTGATAATTCTGCATCAAGCTTAATCAGGAAAATTGTGATTACAGGAATTTATTAATCACGTCCTCGTAATTCTGTAATATAGCTAAAAACGTGTCCTGACATATTTAGTAGGTGCATCTCGATGATCACGGTGTCTATCAATCTATCATTACCGTGATTAATAATACGCGTCGTGTGAATTTCGCCTGATAGATACTGCTTTGATATTTAATAGCGCGAAATAGGTTGGTGGCGCATAGAGAAATAATCGCGGCGCAATTGTACGGACGACTGATTTAATGGCATTACTCGCGGCACAGTCACGTAGCGCGAGCTACCGAAGAGAAATGGAAGACATTACGGTGCCTGGGCCGAGTCGGTGTAATTGAAAGTCCCGTAAATAAAGAGGACCGTCCGAGCGGAGACGAAGACGTCTCGAATTTCAATCTCCCGGATTTCCAATAGCTCTTGACCTCCCCGACTCCGACATTTCTTCTGCACACGATTGGCGCATCCTCCCGTTCCCGCCCCTTTCCCTCTGTCCTGCGCCTCTTTTGCTGTGTTTCTTTTAGCCGTTCCGGCTCGTTGCAATTTTCCTGCCTTTAAGAAATGATGAAAAACCATCCCACCAATTTTCTCGAGGAACTTGCGTTTATTTCTAACTCGGCAGTTTCAGATCGGTGCACATGGGCAGCAACTTGCCTTTTTTCTTTTTTTTTTGCCTTCTTTCAGTAGATTCAGAAAGCAGCACATTGATGCGTACTTAAAAATTTTCTTGCTTGATCACCAGGTGAATTGAGTTCGGCGATTTAAATTTTATTCGCTATATTTTAATGATTGCCGAATCAATAATGTATACAATTGAGCATGTCATATATATGTGCGAACAGAAACTCTTTTAATTATTATTATTTGAATTATAATCAGTTACAAATAACATTTTACAATGTATAATTTCAAGCGGTATTTAATCTCACTAAAAATTTCCATGAAATTACCATCGCAAACGAGTGCTATTTTCATAATGCGAGTTTGTAGATGTACATTTTGACAGATATAAATATCGATAATAAATGCATGAGGAGCGTCCCATTTTTGCAAATATCTCAGAGGAGCAAACATTTTTGACGACGCTTTCCGTCGACCTCGTTCCTCGGCATTTGAATTAGCAGCGTTCCGTGCAATTTATTTTCAAGCTAATGTCAAACAACTGCCAGCAACTTCGTCGACATTGTCGACTATGTCGAGTGGCTGGTGTCTTTGAAAGGCGGAAGTCTCGAGGCTTTTGTAAGAGTCTCTTCTCGCAATTAAGAAGTTATCGACTACGAGACGTCGTATCAGTACCGTCTCCTCTCCCCGCGATCGATCGATTGTATCCTGACTTTTCGCATCTTCTTCCTATTTTTATCGCGCCGTACTCAATCCCGGTGGCCAATCATTCTTTGCCAAATATCCAGCGTTTGCGCAAGGAATCGGTTATGAATTATTCATGGTAAGCGAGCGAGCGATGGACGAAAAAGTAGCTTTATATACTATCCGGTTGCCGGACGCGATATATAATCCAGGAGAGAGCCGGTTGCACGAGCGGTTACGTTTTTCAGTATGATTTACGCTAATTTCGGCGCCGATTCACCGTTGCGGGA